TTTTGGAGTGAGGGGGCAAAGTGGAGGAAACCCCACGACGACATGGGAAGAACACGCAAACTCCACACACATGGAGCCATGGTGGGGACTTGAACCCGGGTCCCACAAATGTAAAGTGACAGGGCTAACCACCATGCAGCCTAAAATATTATTATTATTATTATTATAATCATCATCAGTTAGTGAAAGTATCAGCCTGGTAAGTAATGTATTATGTTCAGTGTTATGTAAGTAATAATACAACTTAACTGTAAAGTCTAACCCTAACCGTCTACAAACCCCAGGAGCATCTGCACAGCACTGACTGAAATCACTATCTACATATACGTGCCCCTATGCCTCGCGCGCGTTTATATTGACCTAACGGCGTTTATCTTCATTATGAAAATGGGCTTTCTATGACATAAGGTATGGATGGAGCCGTCGCTGATTCACAGAAAACACACACACGCACGCACACACACGCACGCACACACCTCGAACTTTGTTTGTTGTCCATGCAAAAACAGGACACAATTTGCTTTAAGCTTTCCACACACTTTTAATATCGTTTAGATAATATTTTCATAGCACTTTAATAATAATTATAGTATTTTTTTTAATCCATAAGATTATACTATGTGATTGACTTTGTCCATTAGCCAGACTGTAAACTGCAGATTTTTGTCTGTATGCAGCATTATTGATACAATGAATCAAACTATTATTGATCATATTCTTAATAACACATTGTCTTGCGGTGACAGCTTTGCAGTATGTATGTCACTCTGTCACTCAGGAATGTTATTGGCTGGCACCTAAAAGAAGACAAATACTTGATTATCGTTTGTCTCTTTTATGAACAGAGAACAGTTATGTTAAGTTTATGCCTTTATACACACCCCTGCTAAATGTCTAGTCATAATGTAGGTGTTAGCTTGTTGTGTGATTCCATTGATGTTTTTTATATTATTTTTCTCTTACTGGCACAATTGGGTGAATATCAGTATGAAAAATCATTAAATGAAGTTAATTAATATTAAGGTGCTATATTATTATTGTAATATTGTATTAGTGGAACACGTTGTTCCAACAACAACATTTTGACCCTTCCCTCTACTGAGTCACTTTGGATAAAAAAAGGCAGATAAATTAACAAATGTGTACGTGTAAACGTGACAACTGTCACAAACTTTCAACGTTCTAAGCGCGTTTCCTGTGTGTTTTGATTGTTAGATTTAAGTTGTATCTGGGTTTATTGGAGATTCAGCAGCATATTGATTAAAATTTGTACAGTAATTATTTTGTTTTCATGTGGTATAGAACGTTTATTTTTATTCTGCAAAGCGAGATCCAGCGTAAAATACAAATCTATGCTATCGCAACCTCATAAAGATTATTGGACAGAAAATAAAAAGGGGCTGGGGTTGTCTCCAAGCCAACAGCTATAGTTCCCCGCTCTAAATATATAGGCTAAAAACAAAACTGCCTCGAAAACAGAATGTTACAAAAAAATAAATAGCGTTTATGTTTATGGTCTCTATTTAGCGTTACCTGGCTTCTGAGTTTTCTTGTTATTATTATATTAAACATGGCTTTCCGTCTCACAGAGATCAATAGGAACAATGTTTTGACATTCCGATGCTGTACCCGTCTGGCAGCACAAGCGACACATCATCAAGGACACATGTCTGAAATGTAAATCTCCAGTGTTTACCGAGCGATTTTAAATGTGTGACACCTTCAGCGTCTACCTAAGCGCCCACAACCCATGCTGATCCAATTCAGAAAAACGATCAAGTGTTTCCGAAAAATGCAACAGAAGTGTATTGTGGGTCATGAAGTTTTGACGTAGGCCTAAATGAGTTTTGAATTTGAAAGGTCCATAAGTGTACTCCAAACACGCTACATTATTTTACTGGACATTCAAATAGTTAAACAGTATTTTCGTGCTAATAATTTGAAATATAGGCTATTTAAACACTCAAAGAAATTTCCTGATGTTACAAACCTCCCAGTTCCATAAATACTATTAAATCTGCTGTCTGTAAAATGTCGCACTGTAACATATAGGAGCTGTTGAGGCATTTCACTTGTATATAAAAGAGAAAATATTGCATTTCAGTTGTTTGGGCGAGATCCAAAACAATGTATTTCAGCGAATAAACCTTAACAGTACTCTGCCTTTTTATGTAGGACAAAAGCCAAACTAAAATACTTTCAGAAGTCAACGTTATATGCAACATTTTCTTTAAAAAAACTTTACTTTTTGTTAACTTTGTGTAAGAGGTCACTGTGTTGGGTTAGGATCCGATTTTTAATTAATTTTTGATGTTTCAGATACGTTCGTCCTTTTTTAAAAGGAGGCCGAACAAGAGGAGAGGCAGCGGTACAGTTTCCCCGACCCCCTAAAGATGGCAGTCAAACATGGGATTTTTCCGCGTCCATCTCCGGAGCTGCAAACAGTCGCAGCCAGGAATTCAAACCCGGAGACCAGCACTGGCAAAAGCTGCACAATTAAAACGTCGACACATTTTAAATAGCACATTTTTTTAACGGAGGCAGAATTCACTTGGGACCCCAAAGTAAAAGAAAATCAAGATAGTTTTGCAAAACGCCACTATCTCCAAGGAAAGTGTTCGGGGTGAATTGCATATTGATGCACACACATGTTTTGTTTGCCCTCGACGATTGTGTACTTCTCAGAGATAAGATTCAGTTTGGTTTGTAGTTTTACCCCCTCTTCTTCCCATCAAAGTAAAATTAATCAAATAAACGGAAAGAAACCACCCTTTGTTGCGAGTGGATTTTATGCTTTCCGGCTTTGAAATTTGGTCTGTTTAAGAAAGTCCATGCGAGAATTGAGAGCTGGGGTACAGATTTTAAACCCTTCTTAACTGAGCCATTGACTGGGTGCAATAAGGCGTGAGGGGGAACTAATCTTCCTATTTAAGTGTTTGTTGCAATTTTATTTAAACGAATTTTAATGCTAAACGAGGGATAATTCCCCATTTGTATCCAGACTAGTAGACCAACCCCCACCCCACATAGGCTATCCTCTTTCTGCACAGGGCGGGCAGACGCGGCGTTTGGTGCGCAGGAGTGTAAACCAGGCACTTCCGAAACTCAAGTATTGCTGCACTGCATTGCATTTTTCCGATAAACATAGAAATCGAAAGAGGTTTATATGCCCATTTCGCCATTTTCTCAAGTGTGTCTGTGCAAATGTGAAACTGAGTTAGATGCACTGCGCGCTAATTCGGGGTTATCCAGGGTACCTGTGCAAACATTAGTGCAAGTTGTGCTAAATAAATAATCCCCTTGACATGCATCTGGTGTTTTGTAAAACGTTTAATTTATAGTTGATTTCTCCTCCGCATATTTACAAAAAAAAGTAAGAATTGTTTTTAACATTATCCGTGTTTAGTAATATAAGCAAAATCTTCAAATAGCAGCTATACTCTTAAATTTGGTGTGCTAGGCTGCCAAAAGCCACGCTTTTCTGTTTAATACAATATGGTCTCTTCAAACAGTTTCGGGAAGCCGCGGAGAGCCCGGCTGCAATTGTGTGGCTTGTCCTTCTCATTGTGCGTTGGAAAGGCTGTCTATACGATGACACGGTCACCTTAAGTTATTTGGGATTTTTAACACGAACTATACAAACACTTCGTTTGGGCTGTATCCGTGCCTGAATACTGCTTTTTAACTGTGATTCATGTGATTGTAAAATGCCCATACGTATAAAATGCCATTTTTAAAATCATAATACACTAAAGCAAAATTGAAAGGTTCGTTCACTTTGCTCACTAGAAAAAAAGTATTTATTAAACCACAACAAAGCCTCAATCTGCTTTCCATAGAGACATTTTAAGCATAGAAACTTTTCTTAAAGCAAATACTACAGCTCGGTCTCCTCCAGTTCTTTTTTTTCCACAAAAGTATTTATTTACAACGTAAAGTATCCAAACTGTAACCATGGGAAAGGTGTCTTAAGCAGAAGAAGGTTTCTTTTAATTTTATAAGTTGTATTTTGGCTTCAAAAGCCACTTTTAGTTGCAATGCAGACAGATGTGAAAAAGTGACGATTGAAGATGTTTTTTTCTTCTTCTTCCTCTTCCACTTTGCCCCCTCTTAACCTCCTGTGGTTAAATTTCTATCTGCTGCTGATTTCCCCCCCAGATATTCCCTTTCAAATCTGTTCAGGCAAATTCAGTTTTGATGAACAAAATGTTTACACATGCAAATGCTACCCTCTAGGTGGGAAGACAAAGGAAATGGCCAGAACTGGGTCTTCCCCAGGACGGTGCCTTGTGGTACCCCAGAAGGAGCCGTCACAGTGGCAAACCACGGCTTATCGACCTTAGAGCTTGCTGATTTATCCATGTATTTATTTGTCAAAATTGAGGTGGGGGGGCTCAGAGTCTATGGACATGGCACACACAGTGTGGGGGGGGGGGGGAATTCACATCCTTCTTTAAAAAAAAATCTATAAGAAACAACGTAATATTCAGAGCAATACAAGAGAATTTACATATTTTCTCAGTTCCCTTGAGAGTCCAAAGTAATTTTACAACAATTTACAGCAAGTCCACTTCCCCCTCACCCCCGCAGGAGCAGAGATTGTTAAAATGGACTTTTTTATCCTTTGTTTCTTTTCTGTTATGTTTCCAGTGCACTTCCTGTGTCAAAAGGGTCCCAGGAAATACAGACATTAGCTTCTTCTTGGTCCAGATCTGATGCTGGGGATGGAGATCCTCAGTCTCTGCAAGAAGCCAGTATATTAAAGTTTCCTAAAAACGAAAAAAAAAAAAAGGCGTAAAATCACGACGTTTCATTCTGTTTCTTTGTCTCACGAAATCTTACACTACAGAGCATGGATGTCCATGACTGTCCCCCCCATGGAGGGATCTCCTGGGTTCAGCATGGGGGGGCTAGACGCTGACATGGGCATGGCGGAGTGAGGTGGCCCTCCGTGCATTAACATCGCCGGGTGGGGGGGGTGTCCAGGAATGTAGGGGCGCATGGGGGGCCCGTGCCGCAGCTGAGCAGAGTGGGGGGGCATCTGGGGTGGGCTGAAGCTGGGCTGTCCCATGGCCATCGAACCACAGTGGGACATGTAATCCCTGGGCATGCTTTGCAGTCCTGGGGAGAAGCGGGAAACAGGCGATCAGGAAAGGCCAGCACAACACCACTAATCAGGCCGTCAGGCACTGCACTGATGCCTGTATTTAACATACATTCAAAGCAGAAACACACACACACACACATACATATAATCAGACCCATAGTGACAGATCAACATCCAAGATGGCTGCCCTAGATATGAAAGTTTGCTGTTGTTTTGCAGATAATGTATATTTACTTGACACTATATTTATAAGGTTTCATTATAATTAGACCCATAGAGTCAGACCAACGCCCAAGATGGCTGTCCTAGAGCTGAAAGTTTGCTGGTTTGGTTTCTGGATTTTGCACAGATTAATGAAACTTGTGGCCTGATCACCACCTGTGCACGTTCTACCAAAGACCTACATAAATCAGCACATGACTGGCCCCCACCTGTTTCATACAGTGACAGTGACTTTTAGCATACAATTAAAACGTCCCCCAGATTAACAAGGCACGGAAAAAGTATTGCCAGGGTGTTATTAAAACTTCACAAGCCAGTGATTTAACTCTGCACGAGGGGGCCATTTTAATTGTACAGATTTTGTGACTTTGCCAATGTAAAAATGTCAGTAAACTCCATATTGGAATGCAAACACAGATTCCTTCATGTGCTGGAGGAAATTCAATTGCACATCACTGACATGTACAACATATAAATGATAATTTACACAACTCCAGATAATCCATCTATTTTCCCAACTGCTTATCCATGTGACGGTTGCTCAAAACACAGAATAATACATCCTAAGACATATTTTTCAAAATTAAACGTTTCCTCAAATGGAACACTTTTTTGTGTTATCGTAAAGCGTCCATAATTTATACCAAATAAAACCAGGACTGGTCTGGAATTTCCCACTTGGGATTAATCAGGTATATCACCCATCCACCAATACAGCTACACATCCATCCATCTACAGACATCAGCTACATTAGTTTTATGACTGTACTTAGAAAAATGTGCATGTCTCATTCAAAAAGTGGAATATCAACAAAACAATGCCACAAAGAGAGGATTTTTATTAAGCCACAGCACAGCCACTAAGCTCTTGCATGAACTCATGTTATTCATGCAAATACGCGCAAATACAATAAATATTTAACTTTTTCTCATACTTTGCCTTTTAAATGTTTCTATGAAATGGATTGTGGATATGCTGGAGTACAAAGCTAATCTAATAGTGGCTTGGTTCATTACTGTTCAAATGCACACTGTTCATAAGGGTCCTGCTCACCAATATTCACGTGGGTCCTGTTCATTACTGTTAACAAATGTGCTGCTTACTACTGTTCAGAAGGGTCCTGCTCACCAGTGCTCACTACCATTCAAACGAGCCCTGTTCACTTCTGCTCAGTAATGTTCATTTGGGTCCTACTTATTAATGTTTACATGGGTCTTGTTCACTACTGCTCACTGAAATTCACACAGGTCTTGTTCACTACTGCTCACTTATGTTCAAATTAATCTTGTTCACTACTGCTCAGCGCTGTTCACGTGGGTCCTGTTCACTACTGCTCACTGCTGTCCAAATGCGTCCTGTTCATTATTACTCACTAACATTCACGTGGGTCCTTTTCATTCCTGTTCACATGGGTTCTGTTTACTACTGCTTACTACCGTTCACATGTTTGCATCTGTCAGATGCACACAGATTTAAACCACAGATGACACAAGCCCTAAAACAAGTGAAGGAGTAACAGCCGAAGTCGTCTTTTCCTGCAGTTTTTTTTCCTCTCTGTGGAGTTTAAGAGTTCATCCTCACGGCTGACCCTGCAAAAGGTTAACAAACTTTCAGCTGAATAACTGGAGGAATGGCTTCCCAGTACAAAGCTCTCCAGCCGAGCCAGAAGGGCCCTGGTGACTCCCCCACTTCACAGCGGCATACCTAAAGTATCTCGGTGAGTGGGGGGGGGGGGAATCCAATATGCTCGCCATTAATTATTTCACCGCGATTGCCATTGTCTTGGAAATGAAATTGCAATTTTGTCGACCCTTGGCTAATTTCGCCAAGGAAAGAAGAAGAAAAGAGCGGGTCCAAATGGCCATCAAACAGTCATTTAGCCCCGCTATCAAAGGGCCGTGCTCTTCTGCATGAATTACTTAGGTTTATTGGACGTGACAGGTGTATTGTTTCCCAGACTTATAAGCTCCGTAATAATCAAGGGGAGCGAGCGTAGCGTGCCTTCTAAGTAGGTTTAATTGGCTTTGCTCTTAAGTAATGCTGCGATGTGGCTGCTAGGAACACCTTCATTTCAGGTCTCAGAGTTTCCCTACAAATAATAGCTGAGTATCTCCTTCCGGAATATTTCTCGACTAATGAAACTAGCTTATAAAACGCGGAGTGCCCTAGGACCCTTAATCGAATAAGAGGGGAACATTCTTTCCACAATAACCCATTAATTTAATTGGTCATGAAGAATATCACACGTCGCTTGCCTTCAATTGACCTAGAAACTAAAGGAACAATATTTAAATTAGCCAAGCTAGGGGAGTTTGGTGGCAGGGCCGTAGAGCGGAGGAGTGCCTCCGCCGGCACTCCGTCTCCGCGCCCCTGTCTGCGTGCCCGTGTCTCCGTTTACCCATCTCATCTGCGATTCGGCACACAGCTCAATTAGAGAATCCAGCCGGCAAATTGAGAGCCGTCCAAAGAGCCAAGCTGCCACGACTGGAGGCGGAGGCGTGGGGGGTGGGGGTGGGGGCGGGGGCGGGGGGGAGCGGTTCCCAGTGTTTATAGACGTGCAAACACATATTTAGCCGGGGCACATCGGCGGGCTCGGAAATATGCTCGGAAATACGGCGGAAGCCGGTGGGAGTGGCCGTGTGAAAAACCGATTATCGCCACTTCGGAGAGGGACGGCAGAATGGGCTGGGATATTCTGGAGTATTCCGTAGCGGACTGCATTAATGATCTCTATTTTTGTATACTGGATCGGTCAAATCCATTGGTCACGCCACCGGTGATGGCATATTTAATTTGGATATACTCAATTAGCCCAGCTAAACCGCATAGCCTGCTACACCTCCGTGTCGTGTGAGTTTTTTTTTTGCTTTTTTCTCCTCCTCTACCCTTCCTCTACACCATGAGTAATCCCAGCACGACAGACGCAGGCTTATACCCGAGTAAGGCTGTGGGAGATACTCAGGGAGCGGCTTGGCACGGTGGTAAAAACGCGTGCAGGTGTTTACGCCGACATCGCTGGCTCGTAGGTTACCGTATTAATGCAACTCATACCCCAACTGTAGTAAAACAGATTTATAGCACTTTGGGGACCGACTCTTTCCTGCTTCGGTTGCTACAGGCCGCTCGCATTTTGCCAATCAGTCTGTTGCCATAGCAACACCCTACCAATCCCCCTCACCTCCAACGCCACCATGTCCTCCTCCCTCCCCCCCCCGCCAGCCCTACCCCCGTTCTTCTGCATCCCCCACCCCCCCATCCTGCCCAACAGCCCCACCCACCCTGGGGACGAGGGCGTAATTCACCGAATCACGTGACCATTGCCCGTAAACAACGGTGGAGAACACCTGCCCAAACCGAACCTATTTCATGCCTTCAGAGACGATTTAATCAGTATTCAACCATTTTCATGGATTTACTTATTAGCATGTGTAACAATTATTAAGCTTTTTAAAGAGCAGAACCGTCAGCTTGTTAAAAAAAAATGAGAAAAAGAACACGAACAGATGAAAACAAAACGAAAAGAACAAGGAAAAGAGTGAACAAGTATGAAGACATGGGCTGGAAGCACACTGACTGCAACAGGAGCGAACCAAGAACACGGGGAGACAGGGACAATAACAACGCACTGTTACACAGCAAAACGGCGCCCCCTGCTGTGATTGACACTGATAAAGACCCTGATTGTACTTACTTCCCCCCTTGCTTTGCGATTGGTTAACTAGAGGAAGGTTACATGTAGTGCCACTGCCCCTCCATGCCCATATTCATGCCCATTCCACTCATAGGCCCTAGAAGGAGATAAAAAATCCAAGAAGAATATACCAGAAGATCAGCACAGACCAAGCGAGAAAAACACAGAGCCGCGCTGGGAAGGCAGGGCGCTGGGTGAGTGGGTTTCAAAACAAGTTATGCACCAAAAAGGACCCAGAAACCTCTTCAAAGTATCTGTGTGTTGCGGGTGGGGGGGGGGAGGATGTTGGAGGTTAGTCTTGTGTGACACCTTCTGACCCAGCGGGAGCACGAGATGAAGAGGGTTTTGTGAAGAAGGCATCAAGGAAGAGGAGGCAGGAGGGTAGTTACATGCAGAGAGGTAGTTACATGCCCCCTGGGAGACAGGAGCAAAGGGGTAGTTGCATGCCCCGGGGAGGCAGGGGCGGAGGGGTAGTTACATGCAGAGGGGTATTAACATGCACCAGGAAGACAGAAAGCAGGGGCAGAGGGGCAGTGGGAGGAGGCGGATGTGACGACGGGCCACGGTGAGTGTAATCCCCCCCCTCCCCCCCCCAGCCCAGCCCAGCCTTGCCTCCCCAGCTCCGCCCCCGATCCCCATGGAGAGCCGGCTGCAGGAAGCCACACCAAGGCCTTACCAGGTGGTCTGATTCCCATGTGCTGCTGTCCGTCCATAACGAAACCTCCCATCGGCTGACCATCTGGAGTGTAAGGTCCTCCTTGACTTACTGCAACACCGTGGGGGGGAGGGCACAGAAACATAGTTAATTACACTTTTAATTAAGTTTCGCCTGTTGGTCCTGTCTGTCAGGCAGCTTCCCGGCCGTCTTCTGCTCTTCTCCTTTCTCCCTTCTGTACGTTTCATTACTGATGCCAATGAACTCTTTTCTACATCAAACATCTACATCCACATCCCTCCACAAGGGAGATGATTTACTGCGACCCCAAAAAAAAACCCCTAAACGAAACCGTGAAGCATGTGACAGTGATCAACAGAGCAGTGATTAATTATCCCTCTCTCTCTCCCTCCCCGCTCTCATAAAATGGGCTTACTGGCGATCTGACCTGGTTTAGGTTATTCGAGGCCTGAACAGTCCAACCTCTGCGAATGCCTTTGAACTTTCCCAAGTCCCTAACACAACCCTGACCCCTGACCCTTATCGCAGGTAATAAAGTTTACAACAGTCCCTATAAGTCGTGAACCGGGGGCTGAACTCCAGTGCTGGGTGGAAGGGGATCCCAGGGGCACCACGTCTACAAAACCGCTCGGCTCACATTCAACTAAACGCCGGTTTGTTTCCTTCTGTTTTGATGTGGAAGAGAGCAAATGGGCACACATCTGACCAGCCGGACAGCTGAAATACTCGATTTCCTCTGTTTCTTTAAATTCCATTATCTTGATAGTCTCTTTTAGAGCAGTGTTTCTCAATGCGGTCCTCGGAGACCCCCAGACGGTCCACATTTTTGCTCCCTCTCAGCTCCCGGCAGGAGCAAAAACCTGGACTGTCTGGGGGTCCCTGTGGATCGGATTGAGAAACACTGGTTTAGAGAAAATACTTGGAATCTCAGCTGACTGCCCTGGGTATTGCAGGTTAAATCTGATTGGCCGGGCTGGATGGTGCAGAGTGTGTTTAGTGTGCAGCCTGCGGGGAGCACAGGGGGACTTGCCTGCTCGATTGGACTGGTCAATCATAGGCTGCACTATCCTCCTCCTGGCATTGATGAACCTGAAAAATGAGAACAAAACAGGGGGATTAACTTCTGACTATCGTTCATTTTGTCGACGCATCCATAGAGGGCAATTCGCACTGCAGGACGATGGAGAAATTAGTGACGGTGGGCAAGTAATTGGCGTCCACCAGAAGGTTTTATCGAGAAGATGAATAAAAATAAATAATAGGTTAAAAATGCCACCCGGTAACCATTAAACAAATAATAATAATTAAAAGAAAGTGAAAAAGCCGGGACTGTAGTCATTATCGAATGACACGTGAGAGTCACAAGCTGCGGGGCTCGCGGGGAAATGGGCAAAACCAGACCGGCGTAAATCGGCGACAAATCCGGCCAGAGTGGATTCCTCAGAAAGCACCCGACCCCCGTCGTGTTTGTGATGGGTGGGGTGGCCTTTCCGCATTCCGCTACCGCCGTCGTTCATCGGACAAAAGAAAGGACGGCGGAGATGTGTACAGACGGCGTTACGCTTTAAACTGAGCCCTGGCCTGTTCATTTGTTTTTGAGCGATGGACCAACCCCAGCAGATTGCAGAGTTAGTTTGTGACGCTCAAACAGCCGCACCCGAGCGCCCTTACATGCCCCAATGTTTTTTCCTCCCTGCCTCACGCCACCATCCGACCCCCCAGCCCAGCTCTCGGACCAGAAGGCCACTCTGGCCTCTCTCCTCTCAGCAACCTTCAGAAGCAAACTTGCGACCCCTCCTGACCCCGGGGTGGGCCGGCCCAGTGGTTCCCACTTGATTTATGTCCCCCAGATTTCACCGCCGTTGGATATTTCCATTTCATCTTTTGAAGGGGGGAATTAGTAGACCTTTCAGGAAACAATAGAGGCACTACTCTTTTCAGGCAGGGAGGGAAAAAAAAGAAAAAATGGGGGGGGGGGTTGAAAGAAGAGGGGGGTGGTTGAGAGAAGGAGGAAAGAAAGAGTAAAAAGGCGGAACGGAGGAGATGCGCTCATGCAGGCCAGCGCCGGTGTCGTTAATCGCTATTGTAGAAGTCTTTCCCTTTTGTCATCCGAACGGTACCTGCTTTTAATTTTTTTCTAGAAATGTCTGCTCTCTGTGAGAAAAGTCCTGTCCCAACGTGATTTAAAACAAGCAGGAAATAAATGTTCTTACAGGGCGAATGAGAGAATGTCTGGAGTTTTTATCACGACCAGGTCACGCTGCCGGGGGGGGGTCGCAGCGAGGCGATCTTTTTACTGCTCCCCCCGACTCGATGCGAGGCCGGGGTCAGCGCGGGGTCAGCGGCGGTGGTCTAGCCAGCGACCGTGCCCTGCGATCCAGCCCTTGTGTTCACTTCTCCTTTCGGCGTGGCTGGGCCGGCCGCTCCCTGAGTCCTGTGGTCTGGATGGACGTGTTAAGGCCCCCAACAAAGGACAGGCGGCACACAATGCTGGGACCTTGGGCGGAGGGGGGCCAAAGCAGCCAAGCTTAAGCCTCGTCGTCCATTAGGAGTAAAAGTTCACCCCTGTGCGACCCCCCCCACCGCCACCCCCCGCCCGCGCGCCCCTACTTCCCAAAGAGGCACAAAGAGCTCGGCTGTGCCTCTGGCCTCGGACAATGGAGGCACTTTGTGAACAAAACGCCTCTAGTGGGGCAAAAACACAGCACTCGTGACGTCCGCCACTAGAAACGTGCAAAATAAAGAAAAAACACACGCGTGTGCAGACGGAATGGCTCAGGTTATCATTTAATTAAAGCCACCCAGACATGGGAGAGGGCGCAGACTAATGGGCGGAGCCCCCCCCTCCGCCATCGCTGTCCCGCGGGAGCCCCTGCGTACGCTCTGCCACGGGCTGATCGCCGTTTCACCCGACCCGAGAAAGCACTTCCTTTTAAAGCATGGAAACGATGGCGGCAGAGTGTGCCAGCATTCTGCCTGTGCCCAGTGCTCATTACACACTCGCACACACACACACACAAAGACACACACACACACGCACACACAGACACACACACACACACAAAGACACACACACAGACACGCACAGACACACAGACACACACA